GCCCCTCTGGCCCCGCCCCCTCCTCTCCGCTGCTCCTGCCCTGCTCCCCTGCCCAGCCCCACCCTTGCCTTCACCAGTCCCCTGGCCACTCAGCCTCTCTCCCAGCCTCTGCCTCTGCTGCTCTGCCGCTCTGCCAAGAGGCCAGAGGCAAAAGCCAGAATCCCAGAATAGTGAATTGGGAGGGGCCATGGAGGCCATCAAGTCCAATCCCCCAGGATCATGGAATAGTGGAGTGGCAAGGGGCCGTGAAGGCCATCAAGTCCAACCCCCTGCTGCTGCAGGACACCAGTTCACACCATCCCACTCAGAGTGTTGCCCAGTTTCTTTTGAATGTCCCCAGTGTGGGGGAGCCCACCACCTCTCTGGGCAGCTGGTTCCACTGTCGTATTGCTCTGACAGTCAGGAAGCTTCTCCTGATGTCCAGCCTGAATCTGGGTTGTCGCAACTTGAGCAGATTATTCTGTGTCCTATACTCTAGAATCAGCAAGAAGAGATCTTGATCTTCCTCTTTGGGACAGCCTTTAAGATACTTCTAGAGCATGGGTCCTCAAACTATGGCCCGCGGGCTGGATCCAGCCTGCTATGCCCATTTATCTGACCCGCCATAGAGGTTTTGGACTTGCCGTGTGTGTATGTGCGCCTGCGTGATGAGGCGCCAGCATGCACACGAGATCATTTTGGACTCGCTCGGAGAAAACGATCTCTGAGCATGCTTGCTCCTGCCTCGCTGTGCATGGACGCGCGTCCCCCGCCCACCCTGCCTTGACGGCCCACACCCATTACTGGCACCTTTCAACTGGCCCCCTGTTCAAAAAGTTTAAAGATCCCTGTTCTAGAGGGATTTCATGTCCCCCCTCAGGCTTCTCCTCTCAAGGCTGAACATGCCCAGTTTTCCTGGTCTCCTCACAGGGCAGGGCTTCCAAACTCTGGATCTTTTTTGTCACCCTCCGCTGGACCCTTTCTAATTTACCTGCATCTTTTTAAAATCTTGGTGCCCAGAACTGGAGACAGGATTCCAGTTGATCAGAATATTTGTTGATCAGAATTTACACATTTTGCATCATTCAGGACTGATATGAACTCAGGCACAATTTGGGAAAAAACACTGTTGATTTTTGTGCTTGTAATGTGATTTCATGGACCAAGGAAAGCAACATTGAAAAGTGAGCATACAAATTTGCTTTAATCAATGGAAAAGCACAAAGGTGCATAGAAATGATGTGTGCATTTGGAAACATAAGCAGAGAAATATGCACACGTCTTCATGCGAGAGAGAAAGAAGCCAAGCTCCCCATCTGATATGGGCTTGAGTCAGAACGGGCTCTGAGAGGAAGTTGGAGGTCTTTGGACCCATTCCTAGTGACATGCCAGTGCTGCTCAAGAGGCATCAGGATTCCCATCAAACCTGTACCTGGAGTGGGAGTTAGCTGCACAACTGCTTCAGTACACGTGGAAGAGAAACGCCAGATTTGCAGATGCCGCACTGCAATGTAGTTCTTTACGGCGAGCATTCTGGTGGCAGCAGGAGTGCCTTCTTGCAACACAGGGCTCGGCTCCGCAACTGCACAGTAACTCCGGGTTGGCAGATTGCAGCATTGACCACGTCTTACAGCTTCTCTGGGGACAAGTTCTAGCAGTCCAGAGTGTGCAACCCACACTCTGCCTGCAGGCTCCTGTGCAAGCACAAATAATGCACTCATATACACAAGTCCTCCCCCCGCCCCGCCCCCCGGAAGGTGCAGTCTAAATGCACTCCTTCGAACCATAATTGAGGTGTGGAAGGCTGGAGGAGCAGGCAAATCTCTCTCCTCTGATCAGCTCCTGACCAGAGAGCAGCCTTCCCACCAGAGGCCTGGGAGATAGGGGGCCATTTCCTCGTTCTTCCCTAAATCAGCTCTTTTGTCACAAGAACCTTGAGGGTCACAGTCTTGCTTTGTTGGCAAGGGAAGGAGCATTGCTCAATAGTGGAGATGTGCTTTTCTTCCAAAGGCCCCAGGTACAGTTGCTGACCCTGAAAGCTGCCCGTCAGCACAAGCTGTGCCGTGCTCTGAAGGGCCCTGGTCTGCCCCATTCACCTCTTTGTTTCCCTGGTTCTTGGGTTCCCCTGCCCAGCAAATTCTCTGCACTCTTTCCTTCTGTCCTTCCTTCCTTCCTCTCTATTCATGTCAGAAGCATCACAGTTAAAATAAGGCATATTATAAAACATATTAGGGCATAGTATAAAACAAGAAATTTAAAATAGAAAGCATGTACAAGTTAAAACAGCTCTAGCCCAGTGTATTCTCTGCACTATCAAGGGCTTCAGTCTTGGATTCAGGAGCAGAATCTGGCCTGCCAAGTATATTGGATAATGTATTTCTCTGTTTACCAGGAGGATAGACTGATCCATATTCCAACAAGGGGATTCCAGAGTGATGAACAATAGGGGAGATGCTACAGATAAGAAAAATGGGAACAGGGACAGTAAAGACAGTGGCTGGTTCATTCCAGAAGGGTTTTTCAAAGAAAGAAGGCTTCAGGAGCAATCAAAACCAAGGCAATGTTGGTGTCCACCTGAACAATGCATGGAAGGGCATTCCAGAGAAATGTAATGTAAGCATCCTCTTGCCTCAGTGAGGACTAGCTGCACTGCAAAGCCTGGTGCTCTCCAAACACATGCAGTAGCTCATGTCAAGCAAGGGGGAGATTTTCAAGCACGAGTTAACACCGCACTTGTCACACGCTGTAACCTGCACCCACCTTGTCCTGCACTCAGTAATGGAGCTGAGGAGGAAACCCAACTATGTTGCTTTTGTTTATTTCTGTCTGATGTGGACTGACCTGCCTCAGAGTGCAAATTAGCTCTGCAGCTTATTTAATTCGCATTTGGGGGAGGTGCCCTGTCTGCTTTTGCCTCTGATGGCATTCAGATAAATCCTAGGTGCTATTTGTGTGTTGATGCATGCAGGCACCAAGAGCAGGCTGGTTTCTGGAGGTCTCTGTCCTACAGGCCTGGGCTGCAAAAGTTCACACAGACCAGCACGCCGGGGCACCTCTGCCTGTAGGGACCGTCTCTCCTGCACACGCAGTGATGTTCCTAGGACTGTGGATCGGGGGACCCCTTCAATGCTGCAGAAAGAGGTTCCACGAGGAGGCCAATGTAGCCCAGGAAAGCAGGTCCGCAGCAGTGGTGAGGTGGGTCTGGCCGTGCCCGGATGTCGGAGCAGGGCTTCCCCCAGTGCCCCATGGTGACAGCAACAGCAAATGGGAATATCATACCCTCGGGGTGGCATGCGCAAGAACCCCTGTGGCATCCCCTCCTAGACCCAGGCTTGGCAGTGGCTGCTCCTCAGGGCTTCAATCTGTGGCGCGAGCTTGCAGAATCGGGGCCGCTGACTCGGTGCAAAGGTCCAGCATGACTGCATCAGGGCAAAAACCTGGGGAGGGGAAAGAAGTAGGAAAGGGGGGATGTTACGGTGCCACCTCATGAAGCAGGAGATGCCTGTGCTCCCACCCAAGGGCAGCCCAGGAGACCATAGAAACATAGGAACAGAGGGGGTCAGGAGGGGTCTCCCAGGCCATCTAGTCTGACCCCAGCTCCAGCCGGCTCTGCTCAAGTAATCCCCACCATGTGCCTATCCTTGAACATCTCAATGATGGGGCCTCAACCACCTTCTGTGGAAGCCCATCCCATACCCTTGGGGTCCTAACCGTCAAGTACTTCCTGGCATCCAAGTTGAACCTTGGTTCCCTGAGCTTTGCTCCACTGAAATGCATTCTGCCCTCCTCTGCCTTCCTCTGCAGGGGAGAACAGGTCTCTCCCCACCTCTGTGTGACACCCCCTCACATGCCTGTATGTCACCAACAGATCCCCTCTGAGTCTCCTCTTCTCCAGGCTGAAGAGACCCAGTTCCCTCAGTCTCGCCTCGTACCCCATCCCTTCAAACCGGCCACCAACCTTGTGGCCCTATGCTGCACTGACTCCAACCTGGCCATATCCTTTCTGTAATCAGGGGCCCAGAACTGAGCACAATACTCCAGTTGCGGGCGCACCAGAGTCGTGTAGAGTGGTAGTAATACCCCTCTTGATCTAGAAGCCACACTTCTGGCCATGCCCCCAAGGGTGCCGTTCGCCCTCTTGACCACTGCATCACACGGCTGACTCAAGTTCAGCCTGAGATCCATTTTGCAAGTGCTGCTCTCCAGCCACTTGTCCCCCTCCTGTGTCCCAAGTGCAAGACCTGATACTTATGCACATGGAACGCCATCCTGTTGCCTCCTGCCCACTTCCACAGCCTGTCTGGATCCTTTGGATCTGGAGTGCTTGGCCCTCCATTGTGGCTGCCAGCGCCACTTTAGTATCATCCACAAATTTATTCTGTGGACTGGTTATCCCCTCTTCCAAGTCATTGATAAAAAGGGGGTGCACCTTTGCTCCCCCAGTGTGCTCTCCAGAAATCCAGTTACTGCCATTGCTCCCATCCATGGTCTCAAGGCCGCATCCTGCACAGGAAGGGCCGTGTCCGATATTTTGGGAGCGAGGACAGAGCGCTTCAGGCCTCCTAGCTATGCTGACTGAGCCATGCTGGAAGCTGTTTTTCTGTCTGAACATAAATAGATCAGCCTTTAAACCATCAAGTGATGCAACTGGACAGATACGACGACTTGAAGGTGGGACGGGGCAGCTGCTCTGGTTTAAAAGACCATGTTGCAATAAAAAGAGGTCCTTTATATTCTTAAAGAACAAAACCATGCCTCATAGAAATAACAAGCAAGTGGCTGGGATGTAATAGCCCAGGAAGATGGGAGATGGAAGAGCCATTCCATTGGCCCTGCTGAACCCTTCCCTTCCCCTCCCGTCTAGTTCACTTTGGAAGGGAGAGGACTTTTCCTAGCTTTCTTGATTATATATAAATTGATTCAGGAAACTCTCTGGCTGAAGAGTGGGGCAAAATGTTTTACCCGAAAGAGGATGTTTATGCCGTTTATGTTTTAAGTCTGGAGATTAAATGCGTTGCCTGGGGGAGAGGAAGAAGTCAGGCTTGGAGTCCCTGCAGCCCGATCCGTGCCTCCTTCTCGGCCCTTCCCAGTTGCAGGGAAGGCGGCTCACCTCCGCGGGGCATCCTGCAGGGGCCGGGAGTCGCCTGTTCTGCTTCAGCAGCTCCAGGAGGTGGCAGGCGATCGTGGCGGGCCTGCTGTGCCCCATCATGCAGAGGAATTCCTAAGGTGAAAAGCAGACGTGGGGAGAGGTGGCAGGAAACGGGTTACTGCAATAGGCTGGCCCAGCAAGGTACGTGCAGCCCGAGATGAGATCTTGGAGGAGGGGCGAAATAACGAGGGAAATCTGAGAAAAAAATGGAGTTTGCTGGTTTTTCCTAGTTTTCCCCATTTTTCTGAAAAATGCTCTTTTCTTCATTTCCCCTAAACCCCGTTCCCCTCCTTTTAAGATCCCAATTTGGTCTGATGGGTAAAATGCCATTCTTCGCCTCAACTGTTCCGTTTTTTCTCTAGATCTTTGTGTGCACACATGCGCTCTGTCATCAGAAACAAACAACAGTTGCTTCTTTCAGTAAGCGCCTTGCAAAGGAAGAATGAAGGACAAGCTTGAATGCAGGTGCAGCAGTCACCAGTCCTGTCCATGCCAGAAAGCGAATCTCTCCTTTTATATTTTTCCATTTGCACTGCACTCACTGGGCTTTTCTGGGATCACCTCCCAAGTGAAGCTCATCATTTGTTGCAGTCTTTTCAGACTTCTTTGCTTCTGCCCTTTCCATGGAGTTGAGGGCCACAAAGGCATTCTTCTTTTTATTCCACTTGCCATAAGCAAACGTTTAGCTGGGAAAGCCAACTGCAAGCTGCACTTTGGTTGCTTTCTTTCAGTTTTAAAGCACAGAGGTATGTAAATAGTCAAATGCACGTGCACGTGGTGGGCATGTCATGAGCAGAGCCAGCTGGAGCCGAGGGTCAGACCAGATGGTCCAGGAGGCCCCTTCTGACTCGCTCTGCTTCTCTGTTTTTAAATGGACTTTCAAATGGACTTTCCCGTGCAACTTAGAATCTCAGGAAGGAAGCCAAGACCTTATTTGAGGGGTGTTTATGCCTCTGCAATTCTTCCGAGTCCCATGGATATTTTTGCACTGGCAGGACCCACAGCTACTGCAACAGCAGTCTAGCACTTCCGGGGACAACCAAAATGCACAGAAATGCTTGTTTCTGGGAGAAGGCTCTTGGTGGAGCTTGCTTAATGGTACTTCTGGCTCCCTCCAGAACTGTGCATTTCCACTCATTCTGGGACTGCCCCAAAGCCCTTGCAAATGCAGTGCCACTCACTTGCACACTGGAATCGAGGTGTTTGCTACTTGCAGCAGGTGATCAGCTGAGGCATAGGCACCCTGCTAGGTCCTGTCCCAAGTGAATCATTTTTAAAACCCCTCCAAATGCTGTTTTTCCCAAGTCTGTGGCAGCATAAAATGTGCATTAAAACAGCACCACAAAAATGCAACCTCTTACTACCAGAAGCAGAACTCGGGGTTGGAAAAACACTTCTAAAATGGAACTAAAGCTCAAACAGAAGCTATGCATTTTGCTACCCGCTTCCCCAGGCAGGCCAACAGGGAGAGGGAACCAGTGTCTTGGAAGAAGTCCACTGCTGAGCCACTGGTAAAACGGTCTCTTTCCACAACTGCCTTGTGTGACTTTGTGCAAAGTCAGAGATTTGGCTCAAGGTCTGCAGCAAGGAGCTTGGCAGGTAAGGGGGGCATCGAAGGATGGGGTTCTCCAGGATCTGAGGCAAGCCAGACCATGAAACCATCAGAACAGGGGCGGGCAACTTGTGGGCCCTGCTGGACCTACAACTCCCATCAGCCTGAGCTTGCATAGCCCATGCTGGGACCAGAAGCTGCTTAAGCTGGACGTGCACATGGTGGGCATGTCGTGAGCGGAGCCGGCTGGAGCCGGAGGTCAGACTAGATGGCCCAGGAGGCCCCTTCTGACTCGCGCTGTTCCTGTGTCTCTATAAGCACCAGCCACACACTGGGCCTGGAGTCACCCATGTGCCAAGCCGCTCAGATCAACTTTTGTGTCGTGGGATGGCAGGCGACATCATTTGGGATTCTGATCACGTGCAGGGATGCATTTTGCTTGCAGCAATAGCGGCAGGTGACATGATGGAGCAACTTGCTTTGCTTATGGGTTGTGGGAGTCCAGAGACATGTCCCCCCGACGAGGGCCGCCTGGTGCCGGGTGAAGACCTTCCGCTCTGCCCAGGCACAAGGCACGCTTCTTAATGTGGTTGTTTTTATCAGGTCTTGTATCGCACTGTCTTTTAGGCTGCCTTAGATTGTTTTACATTCCTGAACGTTTAAATACTGTACCTGCCTTGGGTCTCTTTCTGGGAAAGTCATGTAAGAAATCTAATAAACAACGTAGCAATAATAGCAAGGATTCTCTGTCTCTCTCTCAGTCTCTCTGCCTGCACATGGACATCCCGGGCAGCAGCGACCCAAACGCCTAACAAGGTCTAGGCATGGGGGGTCCTCACCTCCGAGGGACTATGGCTCTTGCTCCCGTAGGTGAAGAGTTCGTACAAGACCACGCCAAAACTCCAGACATCCGACTCCTGGGAGAAGACATTGTCAGCCAAAGATTCTGGTGCATACCTGCCACAGGGATGGGGAAGCCGTTGTGAAGATAAAGCCCAGACAAGAGGTACAAGGAGGTCCAGGCATCCTATTCTCCCAGCTGCGCCCCTTGCATGGACTCACCCTGTCCAGGCTGCCTCAGGATGTCTGTCTTGACAGATACCTCCTGGCTGGTTGCAGTAAAAAAAAGCCTTCTGATGAAACAATCCAATGCTGATTCATCAGCTGCGTCCCTACCTGGAGTACAACAGCCTCGCAACAGTGACTCATGCACTGGTGACTTCCCGTCTTGACTTCTGTAACGCGCTCTACGTGGGGCTGCCCTTGAAGACGGTCCGGATACTTCAATTGGTTCAAAATAGAGCTGCCAGGCTGCTGACGGGGACGGGGCGTTATGCTCACATGACTCCAGTCCTCCGTCAGCTTCACTGGCTTCCCATTGAAGTCCGGGCCCAATTCAAGGTGTTGGTGATGACCTATAAAGCCCTAAACGGCTTGGGTCCTGGCTACCTGAAGGAGCGCTTACGTCCATATATGCCCAGCCGCCCCTTGAGATCAGCAGGAGAGGCCCTCCTCCGGGAGCCCTCAGTGAAGGAAATTAGGAGGGTGGCTACTCGGAGGAGGGCTTTCTCAGCGGTGGCGCCTAAGTTATGGAATGCGCTCCCCAGAAAGGTCCGCCTGGCGCCGTCGTTATTTGTTTTTCGGCGGCAGGTGAAGACCTTTTTATTTAAGCGGCATTTTAAATGTTAATATTATTGAATTTTATTCGGCCAGGGTGGCTTATTTTATTTTACTGTATATATTTTAACTGTTATTGTTTTAATGTATTTTGTATTTGATGTTGTAAGCCGCCCCAAGGCCTTGGCAAGGGGCGGCATAGAAAGGTTTTAATTAATAAATAAATGAATGAATGAATGCCTGTTTGGACAGAAAAAGGCCTACAACTCCCAGCCAGCTATTTCGTATGTTAAAGTAGTCAGGCAGGATTTCGACAATAGTGGCGTGTTGTGACGAGGGCGATCTGCTTGCCCCGTCCCCTTTCTGAGCGCTGCTTAGGCCAGTGGTGCTGGACCAGGGAGGCCTTTGGTCTGCGTGCGGGAAGACAGGTTCACTGCTGGGGGCAAAGGGAGATAAGAGAAGCTACCGTGGGTCCTGCCAGAGCAGCGTCTTCCCTGGAGCACCCAGGCGCAGGCAGGGGCTGCCACACGTGCTTCTAAGGATGCTCCAGGGACAGGCTGGACGGCGCTTTCAGTGGCAGGACACATGCAGGGTTTTTCCTCCTCCACGGTTTCCCTGGTGGTGGCGGCAGATGCTGGCGGGCTGAGGTTGCTAGGGGAGGTTTGCGGGTTACACCTATCCCCGTGGGCCACATTTTTTCATCTCTGCCTTGAATTGTTTCTGTCTCATCTCGATGGCAGCTCATTATTACTGCTATTAATTTCATTTCTATGCCCTGAAATACTCAAAGCTGTCTGGGTAGTTTACCACGGTTATATCAGTATTGTTTTTGTTATTGTTAGTCGTGATGTCATGTCGGACCCATTGCGACCCCACGGACAACATTCCTCCCGGCCTCCCTGTCCTCCACCATCCCCCAGAGTCCACGGAAGCTCACACCAACTGCTTCAGTGACCCCATCCAGCCACCTCATCCTCTGCCGTCCCCTCCTTCTTTTGCCATCTATTGTTCCCAGTATCAGGGCCCTCCAATTCGGGAAAAAATTTGCTACCCAGTTCTGGAAAAATTTAGCTACTTGCATGTCCGAGGCTTTCTCCTTGCAGACCAGTGTTGCCAAAAGAAGCACGGCTCGTCCGATCTGCCATGTCCTGGGCCTGGGGCAGAGCATGTCTCATGGTCCCATGGTCCATGCTCCCCATGGTCTCCCTCTGGTGCGTCTCCCCCAGCTGTTCCAAAACCAGATACCAAATCTTTTGTCCTGAGAATTCCTGCTCTAACTTCAGTACAGCGATCAAGGCTCTAGCCCTCTTGCTCAGGAGCATCCACAGTCCCCACCTCTTGTTTTATCCCAAACGTTAGCTGGTCCCCATAGTTTTCTGAAAGAGCAATTCCAGGAGACATTGCAAAGCATTCCAGGGGAGCAATTCCAGGGAACATTGCTTAAAAGGCCTTCATCCTGACCAGCTCTTCTCCCAGCGGCCTTGCAGGTGTTTTAGACTAAAATACCCATTACCCTGGCTGGGGATGATGCGGGCTCGCGAAGTCATGTCCGACCCATCACAACCCCATGGACAACATTCCTCTAGGCCTTCCTGTCTTCCACTATCCCAGGAAAATAAAATCTGTCACTACCTCCATTTCTTCCCCATCTATTTGCCAGGTAGTGTGAAGACCGGATGTCAAGATCTTAGTTTTCCTAATGTTGAGTTGCAAGCCAACTTTTGTGTTCTCCTCCTTCACCTGCATTAAGAGGCTCTTTAGTTCCTCTTCACTTTCTGCCGTGAGAGTGGTATCACCTGCATATCTGAGGTTGTTGATATTTCTCCCAGCAATCTTAATTCCAACTGGTGATTCATCCAGCCCTGCCTTTCTCATGATGTGCTCTGCATATTAGTTAAATAGGCAGGGCCACAGAATACAGCCTTGCTTGAACTCCTTTCCCACTTTTGAACCAATCAGTGGTTCTGTGTCCAGTTCTCACTGTTGCTTCTTGACCCGCATATAGGTTTCTCAAGAGACAAATAAGATGGTCTGGTACTCCCATCTCTTTAAGGACTTGCCACAATTTGTTGTGATCCACACAGTCAAAGGCTTTAGCATAGTCAATGAAGTAGATGTTTTTCTGGAACTCCCTAGCTTTTGCCATGATCCAGCGTATGTTGTCAATTTGATCTCTAGTTCCTCTCCCTCTCCGAAACCCTGCCTGTACTTCTGGTAGTTCTCGGTCCACATACTGCTGGAGCCTAGCTTGTAGGATTTGGAGCATCACTTTGCTAGCATGTGAAATGAGTGCAATGGTGCGGTACTTTGAACATTCTTTGGCATTGCCCTTCTTTGGGAGTGGAATGCAAACTGACCTTTTCCAATCCTGTGGCCACTGTTGAGTTTTCCAAAATTGCTGGCATATTGAGTGTAGTACTTTTACTGCATCGTCTTTTAGGATTTTGAATAGCTCAGCTGGAACACTGTCGCCTCCACTAGCTTTGTTGTTGCTCAGACTTCCTAAGGCCCATTTGACTTCGCATTCCAGGATGTCCGGCTCGAGGTCAGTGACCACCCCATCGTGGTTATCAGGGACATTAAGCTCTTTCTTGTATAGTTCTTCTGTGTAATCTTGCCACCTTAATCTCTTCTGCCTCTGTTAGGTCCCTGCCAATTTGGTCCTTTATCATGCCCATCTTTGCATGAAATGTTCCCTTCATATCTCTTCAAGAAAATTGGAGATATGAAGGGAACATTTCATGCA